AGGCATTGTGAGCTTGGGTTAACAGTGTTGAACCATACGGAAGAGCATCACGTGAAGGGAGGCGGAGGCGTGGTGGTGAAGCTTGATTGATTGATTGAAGAGAGAGAGAGGAAAGGAGGAAGGAGACGAAGTCTAGCTATATATACAAGGGAAACCATGTGTGGATCGTATCCACTATGCCAAGATATGTGAATGGCTTCAACAAACAGTGGTCCCAACTTTGCTCTGAACGTAAGCAGATGTTCAGCGTAATGGATTGTATCGGGTTACGAAGCTATAAACTAAAGTACCCTGCACTACCTCTAACCAGGGATGTACATATGTCCTTCGGGCGATCTTTGGATACGGGGTATGCTTCGGTCCTCGACGGCCGACAGCAGCCACCATCCCGAAGCAGGTTGAGCCGCCGTTTGGTCGTCTTCCTGCTCGATTACCTGCATGCCCATCAACCCGCCTACAAAGACCGCCTTGTTAGGTACATGATTTTCCAAAGTGACCGGGACCCTAACTACGCCCGGCGGCACCTTCTTCCGGTCAATAACGGGAAACTCGACACCGTCTAGCGTCAAGCGAACATGTCCGTGTGGCAAGATTCTCGAGTGGGAACTGGATGGGATGAGGATGGTTAGGGGCTTCGGGTAGGTGCACAGTTGTTCATCGGTATAGCTCTGGACTCTCTCGCCATTAGACCCCCACCAACAAAACGCAGTCAGCCACCCCGACAGGCTGATTATACCGCCAGATCTACTTTCTGGTGACTCATGAACTGTGCGTGCCCAAAAGTCTTTGACATCGGCCCCGTCTGGAGAGTCAAAGCTGGCTACCATGTAGGTAAGGACTTTGGACAGCCGGAGAATCCACGCGTCCAGCTCCTCGTGGCCAAGGGTCTCGAACCAGGCCAGACGCCTGAGAATGTCGGCCCAGTCGCTTTTTTCTCCGAGCAAAGTGACTGACGGGAAGCCACAGCCGTACCGTCTTGTATAGTTGAAATACTCCTGGGTAAAACCCAGGAACACTATAGCGGCTACGTCTCGGTCGTAGGGCGTCGTGGTGGTGAAATTCGGCAAAAGGGTGTCGGCGATGTTGGGGTCCACGAGGCGCTCCTTCACCATGGCCGCCAGCTCTCGGGCAAAATCACTACCGTTTATAGCCTTTCTGCGCGTGCGATTACCTCTAAGATCGACCGGGTGAATGTAAATAGGATCGGCCATGGCAATGAGG